CCAAAATTTCTTTAACAACGTTTCCTAATACCCAAATACAACAATTTTCTCAGTATCCAAACACAAAATGAAACAAATTTTTCATACTACATTTCATATTATACAAGAATTCAAGTAAAATTTACCTATAAAGAAATATTGAAATGAAAATTCACAATTAATTCATAAAATCTAGATTATTCACCAAGATCTAGCTTCCTACCAATCCATATTTCCAACTGAATGTTCTTTCTCTTTTTCATTTCAAATTCTAAACAACATGTAAGATGGAGGAAAGGGGTTGTTTGAGGAAGAAGAGAAGGGAGGCGTCATGAACATAAACCTAGAAATGGGTTCATGAACACAGATTTGGGTTCATTAACACAAACCTAGATCTGGGTTCACGAGCATGAACCCAAGGAAAAAAGATGAGAGGGGAGAGTAGAAAAAAGCTAAGAAGGGGAAGTAGACACAAAAAACCAAAAAAAAAAAAAAAGTAAAAAGGGAGGAAACGGTTGCTGCAATAATGGAGGAGAACAGTTGCTGGAATAATGGAGGAGAGGGAGATAATGGAGAACAGTTACGAGAATAATGGAGGAGAAAGAGATAATGGAGAACAGTTACTGGAATAATGGAGGAGAGAGAGATAATGGAGGAGAACGGTTGCTGGAATAATGGAGGAGAGGGAGAAGTTAATTGCTGGAGTTGCTGAAAGTTAATCTCACTTTTTGGGGGATTAGGTGATATAGAGATATTAGCAACATATTCCTTGTTGCTGAAAGTTCAGGCAACTTTCCCACACCAGAGAATTTCAGCAAAATTTCAGCAATATTGTCCTTGTTGCTATCAACAACAAGAAGCATGTTGCTGAAAGTTGAGTTCACTTTTTGGAAAATTTGCTATTTTATAAGTATCAGCAACATGGGTCTTGTTGGAAGCAATTTCATGTTGCTGATGGTTAATTGCTAAAAAGAAGAATTTTAGTAGTGGTTGGTATAGAAAGAACAGTATAAACATGGTTCATTTTTTTTCAATTTTCATACTCTCGGTAAGTACAGAGGAAACTAGAAAGCTCAACTGACCTTAGACCTTGCAATTTGGGAGCAATTTTGTTCCCATTTCTTTTAGTGAATTAGTGAATTACAGAATAGAAGGCAAGGTCCTTTCCCATTTCGCCATTTCACACACTATATATTCACTTGAATTCAATTTTTAATTCCTAGAGATATCATAATCTGCAAAAAGGAACTTCATACAGATAACTTAAACTGAGAATTTTATTTTTTTTAAAATTCATTTGGTATGGAAAGAACAGTATTTTCATGGTTCACTTGTCTTCAATTTTCATACTCTTCGGTAAGGACAGAGGAGACTAGAAAGCTCAAAGCAGTAGTGAAAGATTCACTTTCTGGGTAACAGGTTGTAGCAGCTTCTGTGCTGCTTTATGATACTCACAAGTAATTTTGGATAAATAAATTCACCTTTTATCCAAAAAAAAAAAAAAAAAGAAACTAGAAAGCTCAACTGACCTTAGGCCTTGCAATTTGGGAGCAATATTTCCTGAGCTTCCTTCAAAACCCAGTGGACGTTCATGGAGTAATAATGATAAAAGTGAAGCAACCGTGAAGAGAATTGCACCTGCGATTGTGAGGCCAAAGGCTAGCTTTGCCCGGCCCAAAAGCAGCAGTTTTTTCAAATGCAGAAGACTCCTGCAGGTACCAGCATGTGATGTAGATGTTGCCTATGTCTTCTATGAGTTGTCAAGTTGCCTTCCTGGGAATCCAAAACCATGGTTGGTAAGTCAAATCCTGTTCTCCATGCTTTATGTTCCTCGCTTTTGTCAGTTCCCAAACGTGCACTCATAAAAATTTTTGCCTATCTTAGTTGTACAGAAAGAGTTTCAGAGGTGCCAAACTGACCAGGTTTTGATCCCAAAGAAGGATGAGGATTCAAAGTGAGCTAATGATTCCACGGGCATCTCCACTCTGCAATATCATTTGACTCCAAAAAGATGCTTCATTCCTGAGCTAATTGTATTTGGAACCAACTCTTATATATAAGACCAAGTTTCCACAGGCAGCTTCCAATGCATCATCAACAAACAAAAGCAGCAAAAGCTCTGAAATTGGCCTCACCTACTCTCCAAATTTTCAATTAGTTAAACAGGCCCAGCTTCATTCATACTACCTGGCAACCATTCAGCAGACAAATAATTTAGAGATAATTTCCCCATCAAAGACTCTCATCATTGATATAATATTTGCACCATGTAACTATGCAAACAACTTCCAGCGGGTTTAGCTTATCTATGATGTTTTTCTAGGTCGGTATCTTATTATCTCTATTGAACTATCAACATATAACAATAACAGGACTATTTTCTAAACAAGAAGACAAAATTTTCAAGCTCAGCATTCTACATAGTCTAGTCCAACCTGTTTCCATCTGTGAATCAAAGGTTGGAGAAGAAAACTCTTCATTCCAAAAATTATAATTCTAGCTTTGACTTGACCTTGTGTTTCAACCCTATCCTATAGCTTGAATAGTATTACACACACAAGTAGAAGATTACATACGCCAAGAATAGTCCAAAAGGTTGACATCAGTTAAATGTTCAACGAATGCAAAAATACCACACGTTATTATTTATATCTTCGCGAACAGTCTGGTTGACATTAATTATGTGAGATTTCAAGTCTCCAAAGGGAAAATGGTAGTTAAAAGAGCGTGGAGAAAAGATCAAATTAAAACAAGCAAATAAGGAAGGCCTTTGCACATATTTTTCTTAACTCTTTACACATATGCAATATGAAAACTTTGTGCATAGAAATAAATACTAGTTTAAAATACGGCCAAAAATTTTCAGTTTGAGCCTGGTCCGTGCATTGCTTAAAGGATATTAGGGTCTCTAATCTGCTTAGTAACAAAAAAGTACAGAATAAAGTTTTTTTTTTTTTTTTTAAAGAATAATGCCCCAATCTAGACTTATTGAAAAGAGTGGTTATGCTGGATAAGTTCAGGTAAGTCCAGGGAAAAAAAGGAGAAATGCATCTTTCATGATTATGAGCCTAGTGGCTTCTAGATTATATATTAAATTGCACCGTAAATCACAATCACTATATTTATTCTTTCTGACTATTTAAGCAATGATAAAATTAGCATGACTACTTCAACATGCTGTTTTAATTATTTAATTTATACTAGGAAGCGACAGTATTCTGTTAGACTTGATTTAGACTTCAATTTTACTGGCTCTTTGGTCAGAAAAAGATGCTGCCCTGGGTTCTTATGATATAATATCGGAGTGGTTGAGAGAAAAGAATGGTTGAAGACCAGAGACACAGAAGAACCAGTAATACAACTACAGATATTGACTCCTTCTCTCCTAAAAGCAAATTCATTTGCCAATTCTACTTCATGATAGATTAATTGTATCGTCTAATTAATTCTATGCATGGCACTGCTAAAAGAAATAATGCGACAAGAAGGGGACAAAGAAAGTGATATCATGAAGAATCATAAATAAACAAAATGAAAAAGTCCTTGCCCATCTTGGGCGCTTTGCTAGATCATATTTCATCCTCATCCGTGGTTAAACTCCCAAATCAGACCAGAGAATATGCTATAACAGGCATCTTCAAATATAGAACTAATTAATACATAATTATTAGCAAACTAAACTTTTCTAGAAATAAGAAATCAGCGTCAGAAAAGTAAGCTAATCAAACACCGTTTATATTTCAAGTTTGAACACATGCTATCTTTTTCTTCACAATTCACACATATCCTTCAACCAAAAGGAACCCACAAAAGCATATTAAAACCCCAACATTAATGTCAACCAGAACACCTTTCTTTGCTTGCACACGAAGATGGCGTTTTTAATTTCAACTTTCTAGAACATCAAAGTTAGCTTCAATCATTGATCTTCATCCATGATAACCTAAAAAGGGCTGACCAAATCCTCCTACTTAGGCTCCAATTTGTCCTTATTCAAATCTCCCAACCTTGCAAAATCCAACAAACTCAATAAAATAAATCATCCCCTACATTTCTTCGTATCTTATCCTATTATGCACCTCTTTTTTGTCCTCCGGAAACAACAAGGAAATACAGCCATTGAACAAGAAAACAACACAAGAGACCATCATTAAAGCAAAATAGGCTTAATTTAATAAATAGTCTAGTAATTTTTTGTATTTTTTTGTTTTGTCTATTATTTTCAAATATTTCTAGATTTATCTATTATTTAATTCATTTTTATTTTAGTTTGGTCTAATTTGTTAAATATTTACTAATAATTTTACTTTATTTGGTCAAATTGACATTCAACTATATCTTTTTGAGAATTTTTACTCTTTAAAATTAATTTTGAAATAAAACTAATTTTATGAAGATAATAAATTTTTTTTCACTGTTTAAAAAACTGTAACTTTTATCATATATTACTTTAACTTTTCCTTTGACAATCATTATTTGTAATATAAATTATAATTATTGACATATTTTAATAACTATTATTGTGAATGTTTTGTTAATTAAGTGGACTACTATGTTTTAATTTTGATTTAATTGTTAAAACTAATAAAATTTTTATACAATAGAATATTCTAAAATATTTTACAAAATTTATAAATTATTTAAAAAAAAAACTAACTTCCTAAACTAAAATAAAATTAGATTAATAATGAATAGTCCGATTATTGAATTAAGCCAAGCAAAACTTTTGATTACCTTAAAGAACAAGAAGCAGTCGTCCGATCTCCGAGTCGACGCTTCAATTCAATTGATCTAAAGGTGCCAATTTTTCAAGGAGCACATAAACCGTACCTTATCAACAGGGAAAATAGGAATACTTGTGCCTCCTTCGTCCATCGTTGAAAAGTCAAATCTTGAGCTCCATATATATATACCTGCACCTCTTTCCACTCTCAACAAAAGCAACATCCTTTCCCTCTTCTCCCTTGAATTCAACTTGAGAGTTCTTTGCCTTTTTTAACTCAGTTTTTCCTGAAGTTTCTTTGAGATTACCTGGTTTTGGCTATGGCGATGCCGAATCAAGCATCCAATACACTTGAACTTATCAAGTTTCATTTGCTTGGGGAGTTCTCTCCCATTGGAAGCTTTTCTGGGCCAATTTTCGAAGAACCAAGCTTGCAGTCCCAAACTTCGAGCTCTGATTCTTCCATCAAGGTCTCCGATTTTGGGGGCCTTGAAACAACTGATTTCTTCCAATTCACCCCAAATTTGAGCCCTTCCAAAGGAAATGTTAGCGATTTCTTCGAGTTCGAGTCAAAGCCCCGTGTCCTCGATCTCACAACACCAAGAGACCATAGTTCCAGCTCTGAATCGAACTCGAACGCTTTAGAATTCGACGTGAAACCTCAAGTAATCGACTTTACAACAGAAAAACCTGAAGTTCCTCGGAAATTGAGTCCAGAAAACCGGAAACCATCTCTAAAGATCTCCCTTCCGAAGAAATCAGAGTGGATCCAGTTCGGAAACCCGAATCCCCAACCGCAACAAGCTTTACCTAAAGCGAGGAAACCTAAAGCAGAAGAGAGTAGGCATTACAGAGGGGTCCGACAAAGGCCGTGGGGCAAGTTCGCCGCAGAAATCCGTGACCCGAACAGGAAAGGGTCAAGAATATGGCTGGGAACATACAACACCCCCATCGAAGCTGCCAAAGCCTACGACCGAGCCGCGTTTAAGCTTCGTGGCTCGAAAGCAATTCTCAATTTCCCTCTCGAAGCCGGGAGGTACAAAGAAGGCGCCGGAGCCGGAGAGAAGAAACGGAGCAGAGACGATAACGGCGAGCGGGAAGAGAGAGAAGTGAAGGCGGTGAAGATCGAAAAGGAGGACGTCACAAAACGTCCGGATGATGCTGTCCTGACGCCGTCTAGTTGGATGGCGGTTTGGGATTGGGCCGACGGTGATGTAAAGGGTTCAATATTCAACGTGCCGCAGTTGTCGCCGTTATCCCCGCACCCGGCGTTGGGTTTCCCGCGGATAACGGTTAAGTGAGAGCCTGCTCTTTTGCCGGCTGATAGTGCTACGGTGGCCATAACTTGGATTTCTCGGATGTAAATATGATTGCGTTTTTCCAACGGATAACTCGTGATTCAGCTATGGAGTGTGTCTGGAATTGGGTCTTTATTATTTTTATTATTATTATTTTGAAAAATAGTAATTTTTTACAAATATTTTTACCCTATTATGGGATGAGAACGTATGGTTTTGTATTTATCCCTTTTTGCAAAATTTTATTTCCTATATGCATTTTTCTATTTATATATTTTTGTTAGAGATAATCATGATTCATATAATCATGAATAATGATATGGAAAACGACTCTTAGGAGACGAAATTGGATGGTGACTTACCTGGCTTGTCACGTATGTAAACACCCAACTCACTTGCCACATAAACATACACACATGTAAATTTATTTTTGGAAGGGACGATTTGTAAAAAGAGTTTTCCTTAATCCCATATTCTAAATCTCATTGAAACTCAGTTGCGAACTTCACTTCCTATTCCTGCGTCGCCTTGCATCTCTGCTCTATGCCAAAGTTGTTTTTTTCAACATCGATTTGGTAAGTTCCATCGAAACCAAACTTATTTGATTAATCAATATCGATTTCTCTTCCGTCGTCATCTTGAGCCCCAACCCTAACCATCCGAATCGAAAATGTGGAAAAGGAGAACCAACCAAATCGAAAAGGAGGAAGACGAAGATGAGACTTCAATTTTCTTCTACCAGGACAAATTTCAGTGATCATCTTTATTTGGTTCGATCGTTTCGATGGTTTCCTCTTCGATTTTCTCTTTGACTTCTTTTTAATTTGCTTTGCTTTCGATTTCCCTCTTTTTAGTTGGCCAATTTTTTGTTTACTATTTGATTTATTGTGGCTGTGATTTCTTTAGTTTACACGTGTATATGTCTATGTGGCACGTGGGTTGGGTGTCTGCATACATGGCAAGCTAGGTAAGTCACCGTCCAATTTTGTCTCCCAAGATTCGTCCTTTGTATCATTATTTTGGAATAAATCTTAATCAGAAAATTGAAGTGGAGTATATTTTGTATGAAATACGCTTCACTAATTAACTATTAAAAAAAATGTGTGCGTTTTTTAATATTGAAAGCTCCCCTCTTTATTAATAATTAAAAATAATGCAATTTGTAAATAATATAAATATTACATTACAATATTCACTAATATTACGTGTACAGTATGTTATTATTTTAGTTTTAGAATTTTTATTGAGGAAATCATTATACCTATTTATAAAGGCTCTCTTATACAACAATTTTATATTACCTAATAATATCAATAATATAATGATCATCATAATTTTTAAATATAAATTAAAATTTTAATTTTTTTTAAAAGTCAAAATTAATATATACTAA